GTGTAAAGAAATACAGTCAGCTTTACAAACTATAAATATTAGATAAAAGGCAACTCCCTTTGTTATATGAACTTTCTCTGTAAACTTTTAATATTTAAAATGTGTGCACAGCATTTCAATAACTTCCAATCACTTGGCATCACAACTGAAAAGCATTTGAACCACTAAACCTCTTTGCTCTCTCCCCGCTGCTAGTGTTGATCTGGACTGTGGGGAGCACAGCAGGTTTGAGTGAATTTGAGTGGCCCCCGGAGACCAATGTGTGTCAGACCCAGTGCGTTCCTCAGTCTACCTGAGCCTGTGGTGCCATCTGCTGCTGGTTCAGTGGAAGCTGTGGGATCCCAGGTGGAACACCGGTCTTCAGCTTCTTCAGGTCAAGCTTGGTGGGGGGGGCTTCCTCTTCTTCATCAGATTCCTGGAGTCCGTACTTTGAGAAGTGGATCACCTGTGGAATAGATTTTGGTTACATTCTAAAGATTTACACATGACAACAGCTAACTATGTAATACAAGATCAGTCCTCAATACCTCAAAGACCCAGGAGCCTGTTTCGGGTCGGTATTCCAAGAAGCGGGCACCCTGTTTACGTGAGGCTGCCTCAAGTCGGCCCTCATAGTTCATCTCAGTCAGCCTCTCTGGACTCTTAATCTGAGAGCATGTTGTCTTGTCATTAGGCCACACGCCATCTAGAGTCACCTCAGCACGTCTGCATGTTACAAGAAACAAAATACATAGGAACATCTAGCAGAAACTCAGTTTAAAAGAGCGACCAAAGCGGTTGAGGAAGTGATCCATGCACATTACCTGTTTAGTCCCTCTCCAACAGAAGGCTTGTCTTTGTCATCAGGGTACACGATTATTTCCTTACGCCTGAAGTGCACAATCTCATCCAGGTTCATGTTGGTGAGATTCACCTCACCAGAGAAGAAAACTGATCCATAGCCTGCAAAAAACACATTGTCGTCATGCTCCACTCATGTGCTACTTACAATATATAATTTGTTCTTACACACAATTGCGCTTCAATACTTTTACCTTTCCTGCCAACAGTGAAGTTCTCCACAATACACTCCCCATTCTCATTCAACATCCTTCCCAGCTCTTCCATTGATGGGATGGTGTAGTAGCCCACACGGGTAAGAACTATACCTGAGAGAGGACATAAATAGCTCAGAATAAGATTTATAGCCTATCAAATACAGTGTATGTTTTGAAGAATGTCAACC